GAGAGCTGCCGGGTTCTTCTCAGAGCTGGCAGTTGGCAGGCAGGAGGCCCACTTTGCCTGGGGGTGGAGGATGTTTACTGTCCTCATTTGGTCAGGAGCTGCCTCTCAGGTCTCTCTACTGTGAAGGTGCTGTTTTCCCCTTTGTAATTAATAAATATCTTCTGAGAAGATACTTTGGAACTATTTAAATCTCCTGTTTCTCATCACACTTGAGCCCACTAGGTTTAGGATTCTTGCCTGAAATATATATTGCTGTAGGGATTGCCAAGTGGTGATTTTTCTCATTTTGCTTTTCCTGCTATGTTTATTAGTTGAAATTCTACACCATTGGTTTTTTAATGACATTCCAGAAAGACTCCATCTGTAAAAGAGAAAATATCTGGGCTAAATTAAATCCATAGGAAATAACACTCCCCCACTCCACCCTTCCCTTAATCCCGGAACCCAGGTATTCAGCTAAGTGGCTTATCTGTCCATATTTAATACAGTAAAAATATGCAGAGCTGTTGGAATTTGCTTCTAAGGCCACTTTCTATTTGAGGTGACAAAATTCCTAACCCTCTCTTAGACCCTTTTCTCCTCAGGTTTACCCCACACTTTTTCTCTTGAAGTCTTGGTCTCATTCTCCCATTCCTGGCCCTCTCTTAATACGCACATACACACAGACCCCCTTAGAACCTGGCTCTTATAGTGGGAGAGGTGAAAACTCTTTCTGAACATTAAAGACTCTTCTGACTTGCAACCTCTTTCAGGGAATGGCCAGCACGTTGACATTCCCCGGCACCTTGACTCCCTTTTCCTTCTAGCTCAGCATTTCCAGTAACCTGCTATCCAGTCTTAAAGTCCAGAGACTCAAAATGCATCCAATTAAATTCTCTCTCTCACTTTCCATTGTAAAGTCAATTGGTTATTCCCACTTAGTTTACTACTCTTGAAATGCCTTTTTAAAGATAGAACCCATCAATAACAGAAATAGAACCTCCCCTCCCCAGGCCCCTGATGCACAAAACTGTGTTTAGGACTCTTCCCCAGTCCCTCCCCTCAGAAGATTTCTGACCTTCATCTCAACTGTCCCCATCTGTGAGCACTATTCTTTCCCTGGGGCAATCCTCTCCATACTGGAGACATCAGAAGATCCTTAGATTATTCCAACAACTTCTTATATATTTTTCAGGGAAGCAAATTTTCATTTACATACCTAAGGACCAATGGACAATATTAAACAGCTTCTAAGAAAACCTTTTCTCCTAGTTAATAGACTTTGTTATTTTTAATCTTAGGCAACTGGATCTTTGCTTTGTAATATTATACCTCTCTCAAGACGAATAGGAGCCATCCTCTGGTCCAAAATTGGTGGCACAGTCACCTCTTTCTGGGAGAAGAAATAGATTTACGACTAATCTTTTGTCATAAATCTTAATCTGGGAATGGAAGTGGTAGGATCACTAAATAAAACAGACTTTATTCCCCAGGAACTGCTGGGTATTACATCACTAGTTAGTACCAGAAATTACTATCTTTGGAGAAACTCTGATTTTTTCTGAGTAACCTTGTTTCTTTATGAAGAAGTATTTAGAGTTGATATTTTCTTCTTCTTTCTTCTTCTTTGGTGACTTTAAGTCACCAAAAGACAGCATTTCTTTGCCTCATCCTTGAATGGCATAAGGAACAAAAATCTTCTCACCTACAGTTTTTGGCCCCTCTGGGACAGGGAGCTTATCTTCCATGAAAACTCACTACATCAAAAGCCTTTCTAGAACTCTGATTCAAGATACATTCTCTCTACCAGCATTTAGCCAGAGCAATACATATTCAGAGACTGCAACTTCTATTAGTTAATACAGTATTTCCAAATATTGATTGATGAAGTAGACGCAACAGCTCTGTAAATTATGTGATAGTTTATCTTAGGCACTTTTAGGTACTTCTGATCTGGACACTTGAATACCTTGGCAAAACCCACCTGTAAATTCAGAGTATTATAATAATTAACTGGTCAGAAAAAGATGTGATGCATAGAAATTAAGGATTGAGCATTTCATCTGTAGCAATTCCTTTTGTGGTTACAAGTTTGGAACTTTCAATCACTGTTGTCTGAGGAAGGACTACTCACATGGTGTCTGGACAACAAAACTCTGAGTAGAACCCATCCTCATCAGTTGAGTTGGAAAGGACATTGACAGCTAACAGGCATCAGGGACTTTGATTAAATTCTGGAAAAATACCTTAGGCAAGGTTGGATAATTGTAACATCAGTGAGAATAATGACTGCAATGGAATGAAATACATCATGTGTTAAAATTCATGAGTTTATAATGATTCCAGAACAAACAAATACACAGACAAAACCAATGCAATGGTCATGTTTGGCAATTAGAGCCAGGGGACCACTCACTATCTAAAAATTGATATGTAAAGGGAAAAAATCAAGCATTTCTCCTGCTTTTTCTGTACCTCATTGTAATCAAATAGCTGATAAAAGAAAGTTCTTTATAAAAAACTAGCAGATAAAAAATGAAGAAGGAATGATAAAAGAAAGAGTATCAATGTTTTGCCACTGCAACAACAATGGACTTAGGCAATAGTATCAATGACTGTTTAAAACTATTAGGTGACAGGCTGATGGGGAACCTTAAAATAGGTGGATCAACCTGCCGTCACTTGAACCTACCTATCAATCTTAGCATATCCAAAAGAGAAGCAACCAAATATTTTGCTTTGCGATGAGATACAAGAGGAAATGCATAATACAACCTGTCAGATTGAACGTGATTCTTACTATGTGTCTAGATTTAACTTCTAATATACAGGAAATATAGAGGAGAGAGGGAATGTTAAACACCATGGGGATGTAATCAGCAAAATCCAGAATATTAGAAACTCTAGAAGACAACCCAATTTCTTCGAGAGATAAATTACAAGAAAAAAAACCAAAGAAAGGGAACTCATAAGAGGAAAAGACATCTATGAGAAGTATCAAACAAATATAATGTATGTGCTTAGGATCCCAACTCAAAGCAACTATGTGAAAAAAGACATGTACTAGATCATCAGAGAAATTTGAACACTGATTACATATTTGATACTCTTAAGTAATTATTTATAATGTTTAGATGTGGCAGTGGTATTGTGGTTATATTTTTAAGAGTCATCTTTTACCAATACTTACTAAAGCATTTACAGATGTGTCTTAGTCTATTTTCTGCTGCTTATGACAGAATATCTGAAACTGGGTAATTTATAAAGAAAAGGAATTTGTTTCTTACAGTTATGGAGGCTGAGAAGTTCAAGGTGGAGGGGCCACTTCTGGTGAGGGCCTTCTTGCTGGTGGGGACTCTCTGTAGAGTCCCAAGGCGGCACAGGGCATCACATGGTGAGGGGCTGAGCTTGCTAGTGTGGGTCTCTCTTCCCCTTCTTATAAAGCCACCAGTCTCACTCCCATGATAACCCATTAATCCATGAATGGATTAATTTGTTCATTAGGGCAAGCCCTCATGAGCCGATCACCTCTTAAAGACCCCACCTCTCAATACTGACACACTGGGAGAATTAAGTTTCAACGTGAGTTTCAGAAGGGACAAACATTCAAATCACAGCAAGATGAAATGATATGATGTCTTCAATTTGATTCAAAGTCATCTATTGGGCAGAAAAGTATATATGAAATAAGACTGGTTATGAGTTGATAATTGTTGAAGCTGTCTGACAGGTAAGTGGAAGTTTCTTATAAATTTTCTATAACATAAATGCCTTAGATATTAGTCATCTCAAAATCAATGTGCTTTTCTTTCTCTGATGAATGGATCTTTTGTGTAATAGAATCCTCTAGTTTTGAAAAATAGGTTACCGTGTTTTTAATGTTTCCACATTTACGTGGGTATGTGCAATAATTTGAGCATGAGTAGAGTGAACCCTGAAAGGTCGTGTGTCGCCTCCAGTGAGGGTATACATTAACCATGGTATCATCCCTGAAGCCAGAGGCTAATTACTCTTACTGTCTGGCTAGGTTAGCGAAGGGCTGATATTATACCAGTACGTGGACCGTGAGAACACAGACTGGACCACGGAAGACTTCTTTACATTCACGGCCTCTTCCCCACCGGCAGCTCTAGGCCCCGAGGAGTTTCATATTACTATTTCCTATGAAATCAGTGAGCCTGGACAGCATAGTCATCTGCTTGCAAATAAAGGTAATGCCACCGAGACATGGTTAGTGCCTTATCTATCATTATTAAAGGAGGCACAATCTGGAAATAAATCTTTCCGTTTTTAATTGTCAATGTCATGATATCAACTTTTGAAATAAAACTTAGACAATTACAAAAAAAAATGTTATTTCTTTACACATTCTCTTTCTCCAGGCCTCTTCTGTCTCTTCTCATGAGCTTAATAGTTGTGTTGGGGGAAGGATGGAAGTTTAGCTTTAAAGAATTTTATTTGTACCTCCAAATGGGGACTTCACTGTGCCCATGACTGAAAACTGTTGATAGGAAATGAAAATGAAAAATAGGGTAGGATCTTGAAAGGAAAGAGGTATTGAAAGCTGCACCTGTTCCCATGGCAAGAGAAAGTGTGATAGTAGATAAGTTGGTCTGGACATTGACATTTTATAAGTAAATATGAAGGTTTTAAAGCTCAGTTGCCTGAAGTGTTGGCTGAATTGTGTGTGTGTTTATTTAAAATTTAATTTTTTCATATGCCTTGAGAAGAAATGCTAATTCAGGTACTTGAGCAACTGAAGTGTTTTGAATAATCCACTAGGACAGATAAATTTTAGGGGGAAAGAGCTTTACAACTGTCATCTGAAAGTTCTAATGAAATGCCACTTTGTTCTTTATATTTATGTTTGAACAGGTGCTGCTGTAAAAGAGGGAGACAAAGTTCTAATTGACCAATCTAAGTTAGATGCTTCCAACCTCTTATTTAAATTGCCCAAATCTCAGCGCTCTTCCTATGAAATTTGGTTCCAGGTTACATCTCTGCCTCACCATGGAACCATTATGGTTGGAGAAAGAAATATTACCAAAGGAAAACCCTATTTCTCCCAGCATATAATCAATAAGTTTGGAATCACATACTTCCACGATGACTCTGAATCACTGGCTGATAATTTTACCTTTGCAGTTTGGCCAAACCAAAAGAGCAAGTCCACCATCAAACCAGAAACTGACTTTCTTGAAGAGATGTTTAATATCACCATCTCCTCTGTTAATGACCAGGCACCAGAATTAAAGACAAAAGGACTTCGCTTGAAAGTTCTGCAGGGCAGTAGATTGGTTGTGGGACCTGAAAACCTGAAAGTGGAAGATGTAGACAGTCCCCCAGATGAGATCAGATATGTGATTCTCCGTAATCCTAATAATGGCTTTTTGGCAATGGCTTACCATCCAGACACACCTGTTCACCATTTCACACAAGCTGACATTGATGACTCTCAGGTGTGGTTCATACAAGATGGAAGCCCATCCTCAGGAGTGTTTTACTTTAGTGTGACAGATGGTAAACACCTCCCTCTCTACAAGCTCTTCCACCTGGATGTCATTCCTGTCTCCATCACCCTTGCGAACCTCACTGACCTACTTCTCCCACAAGGCCAGACAACCGTCCCCATCACGAGTGCTCACCTGTCAGCCATGACCAATGGGAGGAGCCCCCATGTCACTTACAAGATAACATGGCCCCTCCAGCATGGGCACCTACTGATTGAAAACCAGGTGGTCACCAGCTTTGGACAGGAGGATCTGGATTCAGGAAGACTCTCTTACCATATGACAAATCTCACTGCTGCAGAAGACCAGCTACAGTTCTCACTGTTTACATCAGAAAGCAACCTGACAGGACAAACACTGAACATCAGAGTGCAGCCTTTACTGCAGGTTATGTCAGACTTGAAAATTGCCAACGGAGTGGCTCATCAGCTGAGAAGAAAGGACTTAGATGCTACTGAGCTGGCTAATATGACTAACAGTGATCCCAGATTTGAAGTGACAGAACCCCCTGTCCATGGAAGGCTGGTGTGGAGAGGGCCTCGCAGCACTGTGATGGAAGCCGCTACTCTGTTCACTCAGAGGGACATTGACCAAGGGCTGCTGCTGCTTGACCCACATGCCAATCTAACAGGCACCGATGTGCTGAACGACTCCTTCACTTTCTTGCTCAGGGAAGACTGTGTACAGCCTGCGGTTGGTTATCTCCCTTTCATCATAGTGCCAGCTGACCCCTTACTTTTACAAACGTCTACACCATACGTTCCTTTATTTGTCACTGGAGATAACCTTGTGACCTCAGTTGTCTCTCAGGAAAAACCTGTGGTTTCCTCAGGACCCATGACAGGGACAGAAACTCTGGGGAAGCTGACCCGGACCAGATGGCAGGAAGCAGATCCCTGGGGACAACACAGGGGTGAAGAGCCCAGTGTGGATGGCAAGGTCCCTCCCACCAAGGTAATCTGGCCACCAGCTGCCACCAGAGTCAGCCCCAGGGCACACACTCAACCCAGGGAGAGCAGCTACCCTCTGATGGTCATCCTGCCTTTGGCTGCAGTGATCTTCCTGCTGATAGTGGCTGCAGTGGCCTTGTGTGTCTGGCTGCTGGGCCGGAAGGTAGAGAAAGCAAAACCCCTTATCAGGCCCCAGGCCATCCCAGAGTCCACAGCCCCAAGTCATAGGCTAGAAAGAAGCATGACCGTTCCCACTGTCACAGTGACACCCCTTATACAATGCTCCAGCCGCCCTCCCACCGGTCCTTTCAGGACCCTGCAATGCGAGCCAATGGCTCCTCCTGTGTCTGAGCCAGTGGAGAAATGTGCTCCTTGGGAGACATGGGTGAACCTGGATCCCGACATGGTCAAGCTCTGCCGACAAACCAACCCAACGCTGAAGCACAACCAGTATTGGGTGTAGACTGAGAGCTGTCATTTTTCATAAATCACCTACTGTGTACCAGGCACTGGGATATAAAGGCAAAGAAATGCCAGTTGAATGAACTGAGAAAAGCCTGGCCCCACTAGTGACGCAGTTCTCAGTCACAGCTGCATGGTTACATGTTAGTGGGTGTTTATTGTAACTTTCGTACGACACTCATGGGCTTTCCACAATACACTCTGTGTGTCCTCTCCCAGACTTGACTTTCTCAGCATACATAAGTTGGTCAATATTTAAACCCTTTACCAAGGTGCTACAGAACATGTTGGTCCCACTGAAAACAGCAGTATTAACTTGGGACATAGAGTTAAAGGAGGAAGGCTTTGAATACTTTTCATTGAGGATTCACTCAGTGAGTCAGCAGGAAGGGCAAGAACTATTTCAGCATGTAGAAGAGGTAATTTATCAAATCAATGAGTTTGTTTATGTAGTGCTTTTCTGTAATGTCTTTTCCTCCTTGGAGTCTCTAAATTGGATTTCCTAATGTAGGAAGTGCCTCAATGCTCCAGGTAGTGGGACACTTTGGCCCCTTTTGAAAATATTCACTGAATGCATCATGTTTCATCAAGAGGCTTTGTCTTTTCTGATTTGTAAAATCAGCCTAGAATAGAAATATTATTTGAAGCCCTAATGGACAGAAAAGTTTGTTAAATGCTTTTGTGATGCTTCAATTTGGCTTAACTTTACAATGAATTGGAATAATGGCAAATTTGTATTTGAATTGTCCAGTTGAGCCCACCACTGGCCAACTCAAGCTTCAACTTCTATAATTGTAATATGAAGATAGCAGTACTAGTATTAGCAATGCTTTGGGCTGCAAATCACAAGACATCCACTATCATTGGCTTAGGTCAGGGATTGGAAACCTTTTCTGTAAAGAGTCACACAGTCAATATTTTAGTCTTTGTGGCCCACATATAGTCTCTGTCATACATTCTTCTTGTTTTGTTTCAACAACCCTTTAAAATGTGAAACCAATTCTTAATTCTTGGACTTGGCCCACAGACCATAGTTTTCCAAGCACTGGTTTAGGCAAAAAAAAAAAAAAAAAGTGTGAAATTATCTTAATTAAGGAGCATTCTGGAGTGGGCATTCTAAGGCTGGTTCAGTATTTCAAGGATGTCATTAGGACCGAAGCTTGTTGGTTCTTTCTCCTCTACCTTCCTCAGGCTGTTAGCAATTTTTTTCTTCTGTTTAATTCCTTACAATTGTAAGATGGTTGCTGAAGCTTCAAACCACACAACCACATTCAAAGGCAGAGATCACAGTGGAGGAAGAAGAGATATGGCAAAATAAAAGACAGATTCTTATTTTATTATTATATTTCTAATCTCGTAAGAGGAATTCTTCCCCAAATACATTTCCTCTTTTATGTCTCATTGTCTAGAACTGGGTAACATGATTCCCATCCCTTGACCAACCACTTCCAAAAGAAAATGGGATTCTCATGACTACCTGTCTCTCCTCTGGCTGTAAGAGAAGTCTACCAACTCAGAGATACCATGTAATTAGGGAAGGATAGGGGCATAGCAATGAGATAGACAGCGAATAGGGTCTATTGAAGTATTCTTCAAGTATTGAAATACTTGGGATTTTGATCTTTCAAGTTGGTATCTAATATTAAATATTTCCTTTTCATGCTTTAATGATTTTCTTAAAGCCAGAGGCTGATGTTTATTAGTAGAGGTGGGATGGGCAGTGATGGAGGTAGTTGTGAGGGGAGATATACCCCCTTGAGGACATTTGGCAATGGCTGGAGACATTTTTGGTTTTCAAAACTGGTGGTGGGACGCTGCTTCTTGCAACTAATGGGAAGAAGCCAAGGAGGCTGCCAAACATTTAAAAATGCACAGAACAGCCTTCCATGACAAAGTATTATCTGGCTCAAAATGTCAGTAGTGCTGAGATTGAGAAACCCTGATTTAAGCCACAATAAAGAGTTTTCTTATACACCCAATGAAGGATTAACAAACTTATTGGCAAGTCTAGGCAAAAACTGTATTCTAAAAACAGCATGGCAGGGTGAAAATTCCACAGCTTATTCAAACTCTAATTGGCTAATGGTACACATGAACATTTTCAAAAAGGGGATATTAAAACCCAAGCAGAACTTGACAGCAGACTCATTTCTTTATAGTTCTCCTTATCTTACTTAGAGAAACATTTTTCTAACAGGTGGAACGCATTAGGAGAAAAAAGTGAGGTAGGATATTTATAAAGGTAAAGATGATGTCAAAGTGTCCCCAAAAGTCTGATGCCTCTGATGAGTTCCGTATGGAAAAGATGCTTTTCTCACTCCCTCTCTTCTCTGCTCCTCTAAGTCACACTTCCCTCCCAACCCAATTTTAACTGCTCTTTGTGAAAACACATTTCACAGTCTACAGAATAAATGGAAGCATAGCACGTTTGGGCCTAGAGACACCTACTCATGTCTTAGATCCTTGGATCTCATGCCATGGACAACTGTTGACTGCCATCCCTGGCATGGACAGCTGTTGCTGAAGAAAATTCTCTACTCTTCTTCCAAAAGTACTTCCCTCCTGCATTTCTGGACTTCTGGGTTATATGACCCTTTCAAGTGTTTTTGTTTCAGCAAGGAGGAGGAATGAGAGTCTTAACCTAAAGTTGGCTTGATCATTGTGCAACTCCAAATTGTTCTTAGGCCTGTTCTGATCTGGGCACTTGGAAGGAATAGATTGGCAGTGTGTGCTTGAGTCTGCACACACAGGAGCAGACTAAGGAGCGTGTCTGCATCCAATAAGTGGGCTTTGCTCCCCCTCGACTGGGCAAGGGGAATGCCTGTCCTTTGTGGAACAGCCAGACATACTTGGCTCAGTGAGTGCGTTGGCCTCTTCCTTGCTTCAGCCGTAAGATCTCTGGAGCTAGGATTACCAGCCTGGCCGATCAAAAATATCTGATTTCCCCTCCTCTTTTTCCTGTTAATTTTGTAAATTCAAACATAAAATTGGTGTCCATATTGGAAGGAGACATGCACAGACACTTTAAAATAATAATTCACGTCATTGTTTGATGAGCATGCCTGCTTGTGCAAAAACATCAGTGTGAGATCCAGATGCCAAACCTCAGTTATTAATCAAGCAATTAATACAGAGTTTGGAAAGGTTTCTTCCAGAGGCTCTGGAAGAGTCTACTGATTTGCAGATGGGTTCAATTAAAAGGAAACAATGCCTACCATTTGGTGCTGGCTCAAATAAGTATGAAAAAATATTTTGGCAAAGCTTTGTTTAATGTTGAAAATTGAAGTTTTAGAAATTGAAAATCAGTCTGAAATGGCTTCTATATGCAGAGCTATAACTGAATAGTTTCAACTTTTTGTCACAATGAATTCACTGATTCTTAACAACTGATTGATGAATTAATAAGTGCATACCAGAGGTTAATATCAGAAGAGTGATAGATTTTTGCCTAAGAGAAGGTATACTCCATGGTGGGCTTGGACTGGAGGCACAAGAATGGCTCACTGTGTCCTGGCTCCCACCCTCCTCATTTCTCAACCCAACCCTGCACTCCCTGTCCCTTGGCGTCCCCCAGGCCCAGTGACGTGGCAGAGTGGTTGAATAATAGACTCCAGGTCTGTTTTGGATCCCAGCTCCCTACTGCCTAGTAATGCGACTTTGAGTAATTATTCCATTTCTCTGAACTTTAGTTTCCGTAGCCAAAAAATGGGAATAATAGTATTAGCACCCAGCTCTTTAAGGTTTTGTTGGGATTTAGTGATATAATCACCTGATATTAACAGCATTATAATGTTTATGCAATATTTTTAATGCATCAGAGACTGTGCTGATTGCTACAAGAGAATTTTCTTACCTAGGGACTTAATGCACTTAGAAAGAACCGGAGGCTGATAGTTGATATTAACCTCTGATGTACACTAATTCACCTGTATTACTGGTAGTGGAATTTGAGGTGGGTGATTTAGGGATAGATGAAGTGTTTGAAGAAGGGAACTTCCCAAATGCTCAAACTCTACCTGTCATGCAGGGCCTTCTTCTTAGTCCTTTGATAGAGACTTGGTAAGAAAATGGATGAAGGAAAGAACAATTCAGGAACACTTGCAGGGGGCAGGCCAAGCTCAGAGATTAAACGTTTCTCATCCTGCAGAGGGGGCGGAGCCTTCCATAAAATACCCTGCACCACTGCCTTCCTGTTCATGCAGGGATCAAATCTGCACATCCACCAGCCCCCTGGATCTGGAGCCCTTACCTGCCCTTCCCTTCTCTCAACCCACTAGTTCTTAGGCATCCGTGGATTGGCAAGTTCCATTTCAGTTCTAGGACTGACAAAGGTCTGCCGCTTTTAAAAAAATTTTAATATCCTTAGCAAAACAAAAAGTATAACCAGCCATCATCATAATTTCATTTTTAAATGAATCTTACTTTATGGGGGAAAAAACAGCCCTTTATGAAAAATTCTCTCCTTTGCCCAGATTTGACTTTGGCCTGGGAACACCTCAGCACACACCAGCAGGGTCAGGAAACCACCCCGGAGGCCATGCTTATGGGTGCTTAGGTCAGAGCAGAGACAGAAGCCAGGCAGAGGGGAACTCAAGCTCGATGTTGGTGCTCCTTAGGAAGATGTGTTCGGCAGTCCCTGGTGCGTGAATGCACACGTGGTAGGAGAAAAGTGGGAGCAAGGGGTAAATTTGCTACTGGAGAGTCCAGACGATACCAGTTCATGGGCATGCAACCTGTGCAGTTGCACCGGCCTGTCCTCAGAAGGGCCTTGAGCTTGGTTTAATGCTCTGCTGTTACCATCTTGAAATACTATTAATTTTTTAACAAGAGGCTCTACATTTTCATTTTTCTCCCATAAATGATGTAGCTGGTTCTGAGTCCTTACTGAATTGAGTTGATAGGTGTATCAGATACCTCTTATGCACTGTCTCAAATTCTCTCACCTTTGCCTCTTACTCTAGCTACAGCCATGGCTACCAGTTCCAAGCATGTCTGCAGCTA